GTGCCTCGGAGAACATTTTTGTAAAGGAAGAAGTTGCTTCAAATAATTTGAGGAACCCACCAAATAACTTTCGGATTGCGAGACATTTTTGGGACACGCTGCATAATCCCAGTTGTTAGAGGGTAGCAAAGGTCTCCTTACAAGATTTCCTCGATCTCCAAAAGTCTCCCGAACTCTCGTAGCTCAGTATTCCAGTAATTTGAAAGCGACCTAGATCCTTGTCCTCGCTGCACGTTTGCTCGGACTACGATGAAGGTTTGCCTGTGTGCGCAGATGGAACGCGATGGCGCTTCGTGTGCGGGATTGCCAGAACAGAACAGCGACGGAGCTGGCGGCCGAGAACGGTCACACGGCGATCACGGAAGAATTGAATCGACTCGAAGCGAGGAGGCAAGACGAGAGGCTATTCTTGCGGCCCGCCAGCCCTAGTCCTAGGAGGCCATCTCAAGACAGCGGTCTCGATCTGACGTTGTGTTAGTCTCGTTTAATATTATACTGCCCTCTTCCGTAAATCTGACACGCACATACAAATTCACGTCCACACACAGAGTTTAACTCACTCAGTCTCTTCCCCCACACCCCTCGATTGTTCTCCAAAATGTGCTAAACTGAAACCACAGACCCCTTAGTACCCTGCAAATAGCGCGTTATATCGGATCCTCCACGTCCCCCCCCCTATGAGCAGAATAAGCCCCTTGATAAGCTTGGCCCGCCCCTGTAAGAGAAAATTTCGAGTACAAGGTCGTAAAGAGATGATGCGAGCGTGAACCGATCCTAATTCAGGAGACGTAGCATTAAGGGGTTTATCGAAAAACACAGGTGGCCCCCCGCTGCTGGACAACATGGAATTGTTGCAAGAGGATGACTCGTCATTAGCCCTCAGCGAGCAGGGAATGGAGAGCGCTCCGACCCCTCAGGAGACTGTAGGTCCGTACCTTCCTCGTTTCCCCTTCTATTTGTCTGTCTGTCTGCCTGTCTATCTGTAACTATTCGTGTAATCTATGTGTGTTCTCTAATTAATACACTTTATAGATCCATCGGCCTAGATAAACAGTACTGCGCCTCCGGGCTGTGATCCGTAGTCTTTCCTAGCTAAAACTGCGTCTCCCTCTTCAACTCTGTTTTTTTCTCATCTGTCTCTCTCTCTCTCTCTCTCTCTCTCTCTG